ATAGGCGGATTCTGTACGATATCGATATGGCATTAATTGCCGACGGAATAACGGCAACAGCGTTTTGTACAATTGCAACGATTGGGTGTTGATTTTTCCGAACGATTATCACTTACCTCGGCGGGAAATGCATAGTTATTGATGTGATGCTCCGATCCGTGATCGTTATCCATCCCGTAGTGTATGTAGATCTCCTCGAATTGATAGTGATAGGCGAGTGGGCCGCCGGTTATATTGACTCGCACCTTCGCCTCCCGGTCCGCTCTGAATAGCAGAAACTGGCCGGTGTTGTGTAGGTGGCCAGAAACCTGCGAACGAAATCAATCCAAGTTTTTTATCAATCCGTCAAATCTGATTCTAATAATGATAAATAGAAACTATGTTCAATTAAAGATTGTTGGATTATTTAATATAATATAGATGACAAAAATGAATCTTGCGATGATAGACTTGTAATCACGAAATAATAAGAGATTAGTATTGCCACCTGACGAAGGTATTGATGGCTAATATACGAAAATTCCGGAAACGGTAGTTATGGCGTAATAGAGTATAAGAGCATGAGTAGTCGCTAAAATTGGCGAGTAGAGAACGGATCGGAGGAATTCCGGATACCGTGGAAAATCAAGTGTGCTTCTACGAGCGAAGGACTGTTCGTAGGCGAATTAATATTATAATTAAAAGTATGTGAGAGCGAGGGATTGGCTCTTCTTCTTATGTACATATATATGTATATTCTTTCTATAATTGGTATTAAGCTTGAATACCATTAATAGTGAATAAGACGTTGTAATAAATTAGAAAGCTTAAATCTAGAAAGGAAATGGACTTTCAACACGTGATGATCCAAGTTGATCGTCGACAAGCGATTACAGACTCTTAGCACACTGTATATTTAAGGTTGTATGAACCCTTACATAAAAATAATGACAAAGCATTGAAATTTTGACAGTTACTAAATATTACATTAATAAGACACTGTACAAAATTTTAGAAATTTTGCGAGCCTATTAAGAAAGTTTATTACATCTTGAATTCTCATGTCAAACAAAGTTTTTTATTACATGTTTTAAACTTTTGTCAGAGATCTTACGGTTCATGCAACCTTAACACGAAGCTGTTGAGCTAATCAGTTGTGTGTGACTGTTTATTGCTGAAGGTCTGGGTCATAAATACTTTACAGGATCAAGGTCGGTTTTCTCTAATAGGGCTCTGAAAACGGGCGTCCTTCCAAGCATTTAAGATAAAAAGATTAGTAAAAGGTATATATAGAAAGAGTTTAATTTATTAACCCATTTCCTATATAAAGATATTCTTTCAATTGAAATCGGATTTTATTGTTTTCATTTGTCGCATAAATATTTTACTCTCGTCTAATAAAATTGACAACTATGGAAACCGTGCGATTGGAAGAAGGCGGGAGGAAAATCCAACATTCGTGCGCGGGAGATGTAGGTATAATTAGAATCGCGTAACTCTATTAAGTCTCGCACGAAATGCAATTATCGCGTATATTACGCGTGCCGCGCTGAATCGTTTTCATTTAAATCAGCGTTATACACCGGTGAAAATTTCAATCCTCTGCCCTGGCCTCCCCGCTCGGTCCATTGAATTACAATCCTGTACGCTATAAAATTATCACTAACTCGTACTTCCAAAAATAAATGGCTGATTAAAACATCTTCCATAATCTTCGTAGGCTTCGTCAAATAATTACATTTCGATACGTATGGTTCGAAACCATTGCATGAAAGCATAAAAGAGTTCAATACAATTAAAAGACGTTTTGAAAATTTGCCTATTTTACGAAATAAGAAATACAAGTAGTACAAGACTATATATGGTCAGACATGTCTTCGATTTGTAGTAAAGAGCAAAACTGCATCAACATTCTTTAAAACTGAATGAGATTTTTAAAAAACCAAGTGACCCAATTTTTTTTTTTTATTAGTTAGACGAATGCATTTGCTAAATGATGTACAACGAAAATTTCGAAAACATTGAAATTGGTAGAAATATGATGGAGTTTTTTTACCTTTTATCTGGGCTTGCAATGAAAATTTTAATAACACATTTTGACAATTTATATGAGATTACTATATCGAATTCCGAAACATGTAGATTTTAAGCGAAACGTTGTAAATGTGCAATATTCACCACTTTACCTGATTTTAACTTATGATAACCAATTTCGATAAAATTTTCAATATACACTAATCTCATATGAATAGTTAAAGTTTGCTGTTCAAATGTTAATTGAAAATCCATGTTAAAAAGGTGAAAAAAGCGACTTCCATTCTTTTTCTCACGATTTTTACCAGTTTCAATTTTGTCAAAAGTTTACGTAGCATTTACTAAATTAATATATCTCACTGTCCAAAAAAACTTGGGTTGTTTCGTCTGATTATAAAAAGTTTTTCAGGTTTAGAGAACGTTGGTTCAGTTTTGCTCTTTACTGTACACATATTCTGTACTAATACGTTTAGTTCATTTTATATACAATTTTATAAGTTTAGAGGATGGAGGATAAGTTTTAAAAAATAATGAAACGTGAAATGAATCGTTGATGTCTGAAGGGATGAACGATTAAGTATAATTTCTTAGCCAATAGAACTAGAATTATAATAAACAGTGCTACTATTATTTTTTTCAAATAATCGATATTTGAAGATTGTCGAAGAGAATCTTTCAACTGTTTAAAATTAGATTTTAATTTCCACAGGTTGGATACTCAAAGTATACTGAAGACTGATTATTCATTAAGAAATTTTCGCCGAATAATGAATGCATAAAGGGAGCTGTAACGGAGATTACATCGATGTAACGAAGGGTAGCCAGAAAAAGGGAAGAGGGAGATAGAGGGACGGAGTTCTTTGTAACGAAGTTAATGAAGGAGCCTCTATACACCGTCAGCGCGTTATACTTCGCGGTGTCTCGCAGTTTCGGTGCCGCGTACAAAGCGTTAATTTCGCGTCGGGCTCGTAAGACCGTCGAATGAGCCTGCGCCGCGCTCAATGCTTTACTAAATTTCACCCCGTCTCCCTCCCCTCATTTCCAAATTACCTCTCACGCGACTCTATCTTGGACTCTGTGGCTCTCATCTTCGGTCTTTTCCATGGCATAAACGCGCCCTTCGTCCAGATCCTTCTAATTAGTACGTCATCAGAAGGTCCGACGTTGGACGGATTTCTCCTATTCCGGGAAATTCCTTCTATGGTGGTCCATGGGATTTCGGAACCACATACAATTCGCTATAATTAGTGCCTTTTCATACATGCAAGTTTCGTCAATGTTTCACCATTTGGAATACTAATTGAACGTACGACGACAGATACGAAACTACGGTACTGTACGAGCTGTATTACGATATTAGTTTCAGAGATCAAAAATAGCAATTCGAAACAGAAACGAAGATTGTTTTACCGGTTTGCATTCGACTGGCTACGAATTTCGACAATTACGGTGCACAGTGGAACGAATCGATAATTCAGGCGAAAAAAGAATCACCAAATGTCACTTTCTTATAAACCGTAGCTCACTTTAAGCTTGAAAAACTAGAGAGTTCCAATTAGTACCGGCTTGGAACTTTTACAGTAATTAATTAAAAATGTTTAGTACCAACAAGAATTTGCTTTTGAGCTTGACGTGTTTATTTTTAAGTTCAACATTTCTAATCCCAAAAAAGAAACATTTCTCGTACGGGCCATAAGTGATCAATTAAAAAATTGTTGATTGACATGACAATTATTTTCTCTGTCTGTCTTTTCTTTCTTTCTCTGTCTGTACTTTCCGCAGGATCGACTTAAATAATTACGATTTACATTTATGAAACAATGATTTCTTTCCACTTAGAATGTCAATTCGTTACGCTGTGGCCAGAGTGAATCTGGTGATAATTTCTTCGGGACGAGTCGAGGCGTCTGACGTTACCACGGGCGAACGTGTTTCGGTGGGCTGCGAGCAAGAAAGGGCGTGAACTCGTCCCGACCCGGATGCTCGGATAATTGATTAGGCATTTAATTGGACGGAATAGCAAGGCCGGCGACACTCGGCGCGCTCCGTTCCCGTGTCGGTCGTTCTCTATCGCGGACGCGGTAAAGCGGAAAGGAGACGAGCCGCGAGACGACGACGGGGAAGTCCATTTTCTTGTACGTCGCAGAGGAGCTGAATTATGGCGTCATCAGTTAGAAATAATGAGGTAACCTCGGGGAGAAACCAGCCGCGGACGACACGTCGGCAAAAGTCGCCGGCAGATAACTTATTATTTTGCAATAGATTTCCGGGCGACCCCCGTGTTCATATCCAACCATCCCGACGAACTTCGTCCGGCTTCTCCATTAAATACGCCGTTTCTGCCTCATCGCTTCTTTCATTCCTTTTATGAAGCCGTCCTATCCTCAACAAGTCATGAGATCCGCAATCTCGTTATTTACATGTTTTTACGTAATTGAAGAAATTCTTTGCCACGAGATTGTTATCAGTCGACGAACACGAGACAAATATGTTTTGAAAAATTTATCAAAAGTCGTAGATGCGAATAATGTTGGAAATACGCGTTAGGATCCTTTAAATTGCGATGTAAATGGGCTTTTCAACGGATATCGAGCCGGGAATAAAAATTCATAGGGTATCTCGAATAAATCTTCGGCAAGTGTCCCCGGCGTTCGGCTCTTTTCCTCGACTTGGCGAAGATAAATTCGAAGACGCCAAGAAGTAACGTAACTCACCGAAGAGTATAACTCATTATCTTGCCGCGAATGGATCCTAGCCCCCCCCCCCTTCCCCGCACGCTCCACCCGTTCGGCTCTAATTCTCCGCCTAGATCTTTTTTTCTCCCTCGCCTCGTTCCGCTTCTCGCCAACTTCGAACTCAGATCAATGAGGCCGCGCCGGAAGAAGACTTCGCGAGGCGGTTACGCGAGGCCGAGCCAGCACAAAGGACCTTCTTTCCACTGTGAACGGATTCCAAGTTCACTCGTTCTTCTTGTTCGAACATTCGAACGTGGGCGCAGTCGAACAATCGTCACCGCGAGTTCCGTTTGCCGTCCCCGCCTCACCCTTCCCCGCCTGCTCCACCTTCGCTCGCGGTTTTCGTTCTAGCCGCGGCGACTGGAAAATTCACGAGACCTACGACGCCCGAACCCGCCCTCGCAGCGCCGCAGACATACTACAGACGAGGTCTTTCCTTCCTCGTTTGCCCCGTTCGAACGCGAACTTCATCGGCGCATCGGTGATTAATGCGGCTGGCGAATCTTCTTTCAGCCGAGTTTTCGGGATCAAAGGAAAGTTTCCCGCGGTCGATGAAAGGC